GACCTGAACTGGATTTTTTCAGCTTTGATGGGAAGCTGCAGTACAAGTTTTTCGTGGCAGGCCTTATTTCAAGTACAGCATGACAAATCTGTGTCTGTTCGATCAGTTGAAGACCTTTGGGTAATTTGGCAATTTGCCCTTTTGATATTTTCAGGTTTCAGAAAGTTAATTACCTACAGAAGGAACAGTAGCGTTGGCATTAATCCTTTCTGAAGTGAAAAAGGTAAATTGTCAAATTCTGAAAGGATGGTTATCATAAAATTTTGGGTGTGATACAGAGACGTAGAGTGATGAAATATTTTCCTACTTAGCTTTACAACTATGTAATTCCAAGATAAGAATGTTAAACAGCAGCCTCCAAAGCTGGATAGTTTTATATAAAATGGTGCTAGACAAACCATAATAGAGAAATGCTCTAATTTGCTTATATTGGGGAAGCTCCAGAGGTTGGTAAGACTATAGACAGTGAGTCACGTTAAAAGAGAGAAAGAGGGACTTGGGTAATCTTAGACCTTTCAACCTATTTTGTGTATTGGGCAAAATTATTATACTTATCTGATAATTGCCTTGCTTGATAGAGTATTAAATGAAGACATCATAATTAAAGTGTGGGGTTTTTTCGGGCACGTTCCTCAGGCAAGCTTAGACATAGCATCTGCTCGGGCTCAAGCAGAAGATTGGCACTGCTGCCCTGTGGCATGGCAGTGCTAATTAAACTGAGAAGTCTGTGGCTAAGTGTCCAGGGGCCAGGTGTTTTTTATACCTTGCATTTACAGCAGTGGTGACTGCTATACCTGTCAGTTCTTTCCATTTACCTTGGATCTTTGAGCAGTTTTGGGACGTGCAAATCAAATTTTTGTCAGCAAAAAAATTAATTGGAAGCCTCACTTTCAAATATGCTTGAACTCTTAATGGGATGTTAAGTCCCTTATCCGTGTTTGGGCCTAAAAAGGAACCTTGTGCTTCTTTTCTGTTTCCATGCTACCATCTTGAGTTAAGCTGGTAAAATTATTTATGTATTAACTCAGAAAAAAGTGTAATTTCCTCTTTGGTTGACTTAATAGCTCCCTCAGTCCAGCTTGTGCACCTTTTTGTAGAGCTGTACGAGGGCTGCTTGAAATGACAGTGTTTCAAGAATGAACACTTACCAAAGCATCTTAAATAGGTTGTTTTCTAAATGTCTCCCTACTACCACACTTTCATAAATTTGGAGGTTCAAAGCATATAAAATATGGCTCACGTTCTGCAAAATAGTTTTTTATGCTGCATTTAAAATATTTTGTCCTCTGATGCTAGACAGATTCTCACAAGAAGTTTTTTGACTCTTGTACTGTGTAACCCAGCCCTCATTTAATTTACCCTGATTTACTGACCTTTCCAGGGTAGAAACATGTTTGTATATTCAGTGATTTGTTTCCTGAAGGATTGGATACAATGTAGTGCTTTATTTTTGTTTGACTGTATATACTACGTGTGTTTATTTTGTTTCCCTCCTGACATTCTGATAAATTCACAGATTGGCTGCTACCTTGGATTTGCCTTGACGTGGCAGTGTCTGCTCCAGAAATGCACGGATGAAAAGAAAAGGTAAGGTTAAAAAACCTCTCCTTTTCATTTAATTCTGTTTCAAATTATGGTGTTCAGTTTTGCCTCTTCCCCAGTACAGAGGAAATAGTGGAAAACAAGAAGAAATGTGAACAGAGGGCCACTGGGGTGGTATCATGTGCTGGACCATGTGATAGTGAAAAGATAATAAGGGAACTTGGTTTCTTCAGCCTGGAGAAGAGAAGACAAGAGAGATCCCTGGTTGAACCACAGAAGGGGAAGTTCTAGATAAGGTGGAGACATGTTCCTTGCAGAGCTGCACCGCGAAAGGACAACAGGCAACTTTTACAACTTGAAACAAGTTCTAATGGAGCATAAGGAGAAGGTCCTTTCCAGTGCAACCAGCTAAACGCTGGGGCAAGTTATCCAGAGAGACTCTACAAGTTCCATCTTTGTAGATTTTCAAAATCTGGTTGGAGATAGCACTGAGCAACCTCATCTAGCTTTGAAGTTAGTCCAGCTTCTGCAAAAAGTGGCCTACGTGACCTTCCAACCTACATTTTTCTATGACTTTCATTCTTTTCTCCTTATAAATTCTTTTCTATCCACTTTTGATTATTTTACCCAACAGAATTGCCACCATACTGTCAACCATTTTGATAAGTGTTCTGGTGAGCTTTATGTATTGCACTTCTTTATTTTGCTCAGTTGTGTAGTCAATATTTCTGAAGATTTGTGAATATTTCTCAACTTTTGGCAGGTGAGTTAAAAGGGAGACTTAACTTTGTCAGTTGTGTTACAGCTTAATTTCTGATTATGGCTTAAATGTGTATTAAATACACACTCTCAGTGAGCTAAATGGGAGAAGCTGAATGAAAAAGAAGGCTGGGTTCTATGCTCTGAATTATTATATATAAGTATTAGTGTAATTTTCATGTTGAGAGGTTGAAAAAAGCATCTGTAGTAGGCTCATTGTTTTTTCTCTTTTGATTTTTTTTTCTGGTAGCAAAAAGATAAGGGCTCTGGATTCATTAATAGGGATGATACAGAAATTCCCATATGAAGACCCCACATATGATAAGCTGCAAGAAGATCTGGAAAAAATCAGAGGAAAATTTAAACAGGTTTGTAGGATTAAGTTGTTATTTTAGCACAAAATGGCATTACTTTCTGAAAATATTTAGTCTCTACATCTGCTCAAAAATACAGTATTTGTGCGGAGCGATTATTGTTCTCCTTTTGGAATCATAGTAAAAATACTTCAAATAAAGTGAATTAAGTGAAAATGCTTGAAAATTCCCTAACCTAACAAATGCAATATAAAGGAAAAGTATCCTTTAAATGAATTGAAAATATTATTTGACAATGAATTACAAATGGAACCAGAAGAAGAGAAATGGAGAAATTGGGAGTTTTGTTGGACGTTCTTCTTGAAAAATAGATGCTTTGAAACGCTTTCATGTATTCTTTTTTAGGTTTGTTCAATGCTAAACATTCAGTCTGATTTTAGAATTGGTACTGAAAGATCTTCACTAACATTTTGAATATAACAGATGAAGATAAATGTGGATGACCAAAGAAGAAACATTAAAGAACAGATAACTGGAAAAGTGTTCATCTATTCTTATTTTAAAATCAAAACAGTGATTTTGAGAAGTGCTAGATACTGAGGGGGAAAGGGAAAAGCATTGAACTTGCAGTAGTACTTCCCGTGTGTCATTTTACATTTATTATCTTCAGGTTTTATTTAGGATCACTGAAACACCAGTGTCCAAACCTGTTAATAGAAATATAACAAATATTTCTACTTATTGTTATTTGTTATTAATATAATTCCTCACTAGCCTTGCACCGATAGCCTTCCTCAAAAGGAAAATGTGCATTTGCAAAGTTTCCTTATGTAAAGGGTGTATGTTATTTAAAAATCTGTGTATACAGATGATTCAGTTTACACAATGTGTAAATATTGTAGGTGAAGTAAAATACAATCAATTGCCTGCAGGCTTTGCAGTAGGAAGTATTTTTGTAGGTAAAGGGTAGAATGATAAATGAAGCCAGAATGTGAAGGAGGGGGGTTAAGATTCCTGCTCCTAAAGTAGCTGTAGCTCAGAACGTGATGTTTGAACTTTCCACTAGTTCTCCAGATTGGTGGGGTTTTTTTCCCCACACTGGATCAGTGCCCCCAAAAGATAAACCCAAAATGCTAGCAATTTAAGTGATCAGTGAGAGAAACATGGCTACTAGTTGTGGTACTCATTTATTATTTATTAATACATTTTATCGAGAAATAGCTTTTTATTTTCCAATCTTGAAAATACACTTTTTAGTCCAAAAAATGGATGCTGTCGGCTAAACGTCTTCAACTATGTTAGTTTAAGAGAAATACAGTTATTTTACCTGAAAGATGTTTTAGGTTGGGCTGCTAGATGTCATTGCATACTATTTGCAATACAATTTTATAATGAATTATAGAAGACCTTTCATCAATTGTAACATATATGTGTCTGGTGAAGTGCTTGGTGGCTTAGTGTGGCCTCATAAAGAGATTTGAACTCCTGTGGATATCAAAAGCTATATGGATGTTTTAATGTGGCCATAACAGCACTACTTTGTGCCATCTAGACCTCAATTCTGTTTTGCTTGTACAGCTTTTTTATAATAAATAAGAATATTTTTTTAATACAAGAAAATAAGGAACGTGAATTTTGAAAACATTCGCTGTCTATTCACATCTGGGATATGAAGGACATGCTTTCTGTCTGCTATGTTACACTGCTTTGTGTGTGCCCAAGAGAGTGTATAAAACCAGTTTAAAGGTGATATTTTGATTTAAAGGGAGGGTGGGGTGTTTTCTTATTTACCCTATCAGATTTTTATTATTTTTTTTCTCTAAGGGAGGATAATAAGAGAAAATCAAACCAGCTTGCTCAGAAAAAAAAATGATAGTGGACAGTACAGTTATTTTTATAATCCAAAACTGTGACTAAAGACCCCCCTGTGGCTTAGCATTAGGGAAAAACATGGAACGTTGAGACACTTTGAGTGGAGAACCTTTCAGAGGTCTGTGTTGCAGTCTTTGTTATTTCTAATAGTGGGAGAGTTTGGTTGAGGCCCAATTATTCCTTAGTAGATGAAGTCAGTTCTGTGTATTGCCACACAATGGCTTGCCTGAATCAGTAGCCTTTCTGGAAATAAAAGGACTAGGGGGTGGCAGTGAAGCACGTTGACTTGTCTTATGTGTCTGGCTCAAGTTTCTCATAACATGGAGTATGTTCAGTGCTGAACACTGCAGTTACAGTATTTTTGGACCTGAACTGGATTTTTTCAGCTTTGATGGGAAGCTGCAGTACAAGTTTTTCGTGGCAGGCCTTATTTCAAGTACAGCATGACAAATCTGTGTCTGTTCGATCAGTTGAAGACCTTTGGGTAATTTGGCAATTTGCCCTTTTGATATTTTCAGGTTTCAGAAAGTTAATTACCTACAGAAGGAACAGTAGCGTTGGCATTAATCCTTTCTGAAGTGAAAAAGGTAAATTGTCAAATTCTGAAAGGATGGTTATCATAAAATTTTGGGTGTGATACAGAGACGTAGAGTGATGAAATATTTTCCTACTTAGCTTTACAACTATGTAATTCCAAGATAAGAATGTTAAACAGCAGCCTCCAAAGCTGGATAGTTTTATATAAAATGGTGCTAGACAAACCATAATAGAGAAATGCTCTAATTTGCTTATATTGGGGAAGCTCCAGAGGTTGGTAAGACTATAGACAGTGAGTCACGTTAAAAGAGAGAAAGAGGGACTTGGGTAATCTTAGACCTTTCAACCTATTTTGTGTATTGGGCAAAATTATTATACTTATCTGATAATTGCCTTGCTTGATAGAGTATTAAATGAAGACATCATAATTAAAGTGTGGGGTTTTTTCGGGCACGTTCCTCAGGCAAGCTTAGACATAGCATCTGCTCGGGCTCAAGCAGAAGATTGGCACTGCTGCCCTGTGGCATGGCAGTGCTAATTAAACTGAGAAGTCTGTGGCTAAGTGTCCAGGGGCCAGGTGTTTTTTATACCTTGCATTTACAGCAGTGGTGACTGCTATACCTGTCAGTTCTTTCCATTTACCTTGGATCTTTGAGCAGTTTTGGGACGTGCAAATCAAATTTTTGTCAGCAAAAAAATTAATTGGAAGCCTCACTTTCAAATATGCTTGAACTCTTAATGGGATGTTAAGTCCCTTATCCGTGTTTGGGCCTAAAAAGGAACCTGGTGCTTCTTTTCTGTTTCCATGCTACCATCTTGAGTTAAGCTGGTAAAATTATTTATGTATTAACTCAGAAAAAAGTGTAATTTCCTCTTTGGTTGACTTAATAGCTCCCTCAGTCCAGCTTGTGCACCTTTTTGTAGAGCTGTACGAGGGCTGCTTGAAATGACAGTGTTTCAAGAATGAACACTTACCAAAGCATCTTAAATAGGTTGTTTTCTAAATGTCTCCCTACTACCACACTTTCATAAATTTGGAGGTTCAAAGCATATAAAATATGGCTCACGTTCTGCAAAATAGTTTTTTATGCTGCATTTAAAATATTTTGTCCTCTGATGCTAGACAGATTCTCACAAGAAGTTTTTTGACTCTTGTACTGTGTAACCCAGCCCTCATTTAATTTACCCTGATTTACTGACCTTTCCAGGGTAGAAACATGTTTGTATATTCAGTGATTTGTTTCCTGAAGGATTGGATACAATGTAGTGCTTTGTTTTTGTTTCACTGTATATACTACATGTGTTTATTTTTTTTCCCTCATGACCTTCTGATAAATTCACAGATTGGCTGCTACCTTGGATTTGCCTTGACGTGGCAGTGTCTGCTCCAGAAATGCACGGATGAAAAGAAAAGGTAAGGTTAAAAAACCTCTACTTTTCATTTAATTCTGTTTCAAATTATGGTGTTCAGTTTTGCCTCTTCCCCAGTACAGAGGAAATAGTGGAAAACAAGAAGAAATGTGAACAGAGGGCCACTGGGGTGGTATCATGTGCTGGACCATGTGATAGTGAAAAGATAATAAGGGAACTTGGTTTCTTCAGCCTGGAGAAGAGAAGACAAGGGAGATCCCTGGTTGAACCACAGAAGGGGAAGTTCTAGATAAGGTGGAGACATGTTCCTTGCAGAGCTGCACCGCGAAAGGACAACAGGCAACTTTTACAACTTGAAACAAGTTCTAATGGAGCATAAGGAGAAGGTCCTTTCCAGTGCAACCAGCTAAACGCTGGGGCAAGTTATCCAGAGAGACTCTACAAGTTCCATCTTTGTAGATTTTCAAAATCTGGTTGGAGATAGCACTGAGCAACCTCATCTAGCTTTGAAGTTAGTCCAGCTTCTGCAAAAAGTGGCCTAGGTGACCTTCCAACCTACATTTTTCTATGACTTTCATTCTTTTCTCCTTATAAATTCTTTTCTATCCACTTTTGATTATTTTACCCAACAGAATTGCCACCATACTGTCAACCATTTTGATAAGTGTTCTGGTGAGCTTTATGTATTGCACTTCTTTATTTTGCTCAGTTGTGTAGTCAATATTTCTGAAGATTTGTGAATATTTCTCAACTTTTGGCAGGTGAGTTAAAAGGGAGACTTAACTTTGTCAGTTGTGTTACAGCTTAATTTCTGATTATGGCTTAAATGTGTATTAAATACACACTCTCAGTGAGCTAAATGGGAGAAGCTGAATGAAAAAGAAGGCTGGGTTCTATGCTCTGAATTATTATATATAAGTATTAGTGTAATTTTCATGTTGAGAGGTTGAAAAAAGCATCTGTAGTAGGCTCATTGTTTTTTCTCTTTTGATTTTTTTTTCTGGTAGCAAAAAGATAAGGGCTCTGGATTCATTAATAGGGATGATACAGAAATTCCCATATGAAGACCCCACATATGATAAGCTGCAAGAAGATCTGGAAAAAATCAGAGGAAAATTTAAACAGGTTTGTAGGATTAAGTTGTTATTTTAGCACAAAATGGCATTACTTTCTGAAAATATTTAGTCTCTACATCTGCTCAAAAATACAGTATTTGTGCGGAGCGATTATTGTTCTCCTTTTGGAATCATAGTAAAAATACTTCAAATAAAGTGAATTAAGTGAAAATGCTTGAAAATTCCCTAACCTAACAAATGCAATATAAAGGAAAAGTATCCTTTAAATGAATTGAAAATATTATTTGACAATGAATTACAAATGGAACCAGAAGAAGAGAAATGGAGAAATTGGGAGTTTTGTTGGACGTTCTTCTTGAAAAATAGATGCTTTGAAACGCTTTCATGTATTCTTTTTTAGGTTTGTTCAATGCTAAACATTCAGTCTGATTTTAGAATTGGTACTGAAAGATCTTCACTAACATTTTGAATATAACAGATGAAGATAAATGTGGATGACCAAAGAAGAAACATTAAAGAACAGATAACTGGAAAAGTGTTCATCTATTCTTATTTTAAAATCAAAACAGTGATTTTGAGAAGTGCTAGATACTGAGGGGGAAAGGGAAAAGCATTGAACTTGCAGTAGTACTTCCCGTGTGTCATTTTACATTTATTATCTTCAGGTTTTATTTAGGATCACTGAAACACCAGTGTCCAAACCTGTTAATAGAAATATAACAAATATTTCTACTTATTGTTATTTGTTATTAATATAATTCCTCACTAGCCTTGCACCGATAGCCTTCCTCAAAAGGAAAATGTGCATTTGCAAAGTTTCCTTATGTAAAGGGTGTATGTTATTTAAAAATCTGTGTATACAGATGATTCAGTTTACACAATGTGTAAATATTGTAGGTGAAGTAAAACACAATCAATTGCCTGCAGACTTTGCAGTAGGAAGTATTTTTGTGGGTAAAGGGTAGAATGATAAATGAAGTCAGAATGTGAAGGAGGGGGGTTAAGATTCCTGCTCCTAAAGTAGCTGTAGCTCAGAACGTGATGTTTGAACTTTCCACTAGTTCTCCAGATTGGTGGGGTTTTTTTCCCCACACTGGATCAGTGCCCCCAAAAGATAAACCCAAAATGCTAGCAATTTAAGTGATCAGTGAGAGAAACATGGCTACTAGTTGTGGTACTCATTTATTATTTATTAATACATTTTATCGAGAAATAGCTTTTTATTTTCCAATCTTGAAAATACACTTTTTAGTCCAAAAAATGGATGCTGTCGGCTAAACGTCTTCAACTATGTTAGTTTAAGAGAAATACAGTTATTTTACCTGAAAGATGTTTTAGGTTGGGCTGCTAGATGTCATTGCATACTATTTGCAATACAATTTTATAATGAATTATAGAAGACCTTTCATCAATTGTAACATATATGTGTCTGGTGAAGTGCTTGGTGGCTTAGTGTGGCCTCATAAAGAGATTTGAACTCCTGTGGATATCAAAAGCTATATGGATGTTTTAATGTGGCCATAACAGCACTACTTTGTGCCATCTAGACCTCAATTCTGTTTTGCTTGTACAGCTTTTTTATAATAAATAAGAATATTTTTTTAATACAAGAAAATAAGGAACGTGAATTTTGAAAACATTCGCTGTCTATTCACATCTGGGATATGAAGGACATGCTTTCTGCTGACATTTTTGGATTTTGGACTCGGATTTAAGAACAGTTTTGACTGTATGGAGGAAGTTGTCTGCTGACATTTTTGGATTTTGGACTCGGATCTAAGAACAGTTTTGCTGACTGTATGGAGGGAGTTGAGTGCATATATATCTATTTATTTCAAAATAGTCTTAATTTTTGTCTATTTCCTGAGTATGCAAGTATACCACTCAGAGGCTTTTCTTAATAACTGGTTGCCTTTTTTGTTTGTTTGTTACAGCTTTGATACACATAGTGAGTATCAGGGCCATCTAGTGGAGGAAGTGGTTGTGTTGTGTAAGAAATAGATGATAAAAGTTCACAAATGTATAGATAGAAATTGTTAAAATAGAGCACAGTACATACGTACACATGATACAGCTCTTGAGTACAGTTGGCTTTTAGTTGTTAGGCAGCTAAACCACTGGGACACAGAACAAGCACCAGACTGCAAGTACCTGAAAATAGAAGCAAAAGAAAATAGCACACCCTGTAATCTCAGTACATAAATAGACACGGAACAAAAAGACCACATGCTGGAAAGAAGAAAGCTAATTTGACTTTATATCACTTCAGAGAAGTCCAAATTTGAAAAGGTTGTCCCTGCATCCACAAACCAGTTTCTTTTTGCAAATCGAAGTATTTTACCTGTTTAAAGTAATGAAAGGTACTCTGTCATTAACTTTGACTCAAAATATTTTTTGTTGAAATCCATGAATTATGCTTTAAATAAACTCCCCCTGGATCTTGGTCTAAAAAAAAGGCAGTTTTGTTGTTCTTCTGAATGATAGTACAAAGAGAAGTAAATGCTGGAGGTCTGAGTACTCATGTTTTAAAATGTGGCATTTTTTGGAATCTTTGTACTTGGTTTACACAAACATATGTAAAAGCAGCAAGGGAGGGGATGCGAGAGCTCAAAGTATCTGAAGCATTTGATTACTAGAAGTGTATAATATGTAAGTTGTATGCAAAATATTAGATTGCATCGAAAACAAAATTATTTTTGTTCGACCGAGGAGAGAAAGGGTTTTCGCAGATCAAGTGGTTAATGACTGTTGCTTTGAAAATGGGTTTGGTGGCTAATTTTCTTGTATTGCTTTGATTTTATTTATAACAATTAAATTTACATTATTAGAATAATTTCTTTCTCTCTATAAAATATATATAGACATATTTAACTATAAAGATTGTAGCAACCAGGATTTCAAACTGGGATATGGCGGGTTTAGGGTTACCTGTTAGATCTTTAATTTAGCTCCATATGTGTGTACATACTGATGGAGTCTCTTATTCCATGTATTTTTCGGAGTATCTTCTGTCTCGAGTCTTGTATGGGCCATGATGGTGTTTATTAAATGAGATACAGTTAAAAATTCTGTTGGATATGTAGCTCTGTACTTTCTTCGGTGCCAACTTTTTAAACTGTTTTCTGCAACGGAGTTGGGGGGTTCTCTGTGATGTTCTGGGCTGTAACAGTGGAGTCTTCACATCATTTTATAGCTTATTTACAGCTAAGGAGTTAAAGCCCAGGTTGTGTCAAGAACATTTGATTTGCCTTAACCCATGTGAGATGAGTAACGTGACTTGTTCCAACTAATTTTGCATTTTGAGTGCTTGAATACTTCAGAATGTGCTTCTTGCCAACTTCAAGAGCGGCTTTGAGTACCCGGCTTTTTCAATGTTTGTATTTTTGCCTGTGTTTCTCAGATCAGTCACCTAGAAAATGAGGACCATTACAGTTAGCAAACACCTGTGCAAAATGTGTGCTTAAGCCAGCTAAGATGCTAGTGGGGATAAAAGAAAAACCATCAGAATTTCAAAAACCAATATTCAGTTTTGTGAGATATAAGCAGTGCTTAAGCCAGCTAAGATGCTAGTGGGGAAAAAAAAAATCAAAATTTCAAAAAACAGTATTCAATTTTGTGAGATACAAGCGTATCGTGTCTTTTCATTCCATGCCTTTCGTGTTATATCTTCCTAAAATCTGTAACAAATGAAAACCAATTCTTATAAATGGGTTTGTTAGTTTCACAGCCTGCTGACTCATCCTGTGTCTTGAATGGTCAGGACTCTGGTGGAAGCAAGTGTTACACTGTAATTAAAGCCTCTATCTGAAGATCTGTGCACCAAGAGGGTGAATAAAGCTTCTGTGGACCACGGTCATTCAGACATTTCCTGGTTTGAATGCTTGACTGTGCAACTTAAGTGTTGTTTTAGAGACTGGGTGGAAAAGATACAGAGGGCAGGGAGAAATGCAGTCTTGTAGATTACAATATTGGCTATTAATAAAAGTGGGACATAGTGGTTGTGGCTCTGTGCTGTATCATCAGAGAGGTTTGAAATTTTGCAGAAGTACTTGGTCTGTTAAGAACATTTAAGGTAGAAAATTTCTGCAAAAAGATTATTGAAGTTGCTAAGACTTGAAAGGAGATTGCTGTGTTCACCACCTCTAGTTGTTGCTCAGTAGTTAGGGAGGAATGTCTGAAACATTTACCTTACAAATTTCTGACTTGCCTGGGCTGCGTTCTGGCTTGTTTTGTTTCTTCATCATCATCTCAGCTGAAGCTGTAGAATCCAGAATTTTATTAAAAGGTGGATACAGAGGTAATTACTGCTAGTGTACTGAAGTCAATGTAGTCCAGAAAACTCGTAATTTTTCTTTCTGTGATACGTGATGAGTACAAGAAATAGTGAGTTTTGAGGCACCAGCAGAGAAAGGTAAACTTTGACTCCAGTGAATTCATTCCCTGCAGAATTGCATGCTGATTCATTGCTGGGATCATCAGCTGTTAATACCAAATTAGCCATCACTAGAACATGTAAATCTAACTTTGTAGATTATCTGTGTCATTGTACTACATCAGTACAGTAACATAGCCAACATAGGAGACTTTGGAAATCTTTATTAACATAAAGTAGTACTTGTTCATTCTCATGAAATATACGAAAGGTAAAAAACATTCACCATAGTAAGTGCCAGTTGATTTGGAAGTGACTTGCTGTATAGTGTTTTTAATTGTTCTGTCATATTTCTTACACGGAATGACATGTTGCTGGTCAATTACATGTGTATATCTGTTTTTGGCACAGCAAAACTGTCTACAGAAGATTTCTGAATAGGTATAAGAAATAGCATATAGCTTTTGTCTAGAGAAATTAGAAAGCTTGGTTGCAGTTGTGCAGAATTTATGTGGATGGCCTCTGAAATAGTGGTATACTGACTGAAAGAATTAAATTGATACTTGTTTAAAATAAAATTACAGAGTTTATGTCTAGCAGAATGTTTAGGGAGGAAGAAGATTGATTATTCAGTGTGCACACCAAACAGAATCAAAAGTATTTGTCACTGTCTCTCATTTTTGATTGTTTAGCAGCGTATTTTGCTGTTTTATCTTGGTGTAATAATAATTACAATTTTTAACCTTCGGCATCTTCAGGATTCTGGGGAATAATCACCACTGCATGGAATCTTTATTGATTGTAGGAACTGTGAGTCAGCAACCCTTTAATTTTTTTAGTTGCAGCTATTGTTCCAGCAGCAAGCTTTGCTGCTATTGTCCACTGTTTGTCCAGCTCACGTTTACTGGACTGTGGGAACGGATTAGGGTTTCATGGCTTTTTTTTCCTTCTTGCATAAACTCTTGATCAAAGACATTCCTTGGATGACAAAACACTGTATACTGTGTCACA